AGTTATTAGTGATTATAATTTAAAATATGTATAATATTTTATTGAACTCCATTGGCTCCATTAGCTCTATTGGCAAATTATTCTCAATAGAGCAATAGAGCAATGTCAATGGAGATCTACTCTATTGGTAAATATATCAACCCTGCTGCTCGGATATATAAGGTTTTTATTAAAAAAAAAAAGTGTAGGTATGTTTTATTTGATTTAATATACATTACATATTTATAATAATATTTGATGTAAGGTTGTACGTACTGTTTAACCCGTTCGATAATCTGACCTGGATTAATTAGGCAATTATGTAAATAAATTAGAAATAAACTATAGCTACGTAAGTAAATTAAAAATAAACTATCGCTATATAAATAAATTAAAATAAATTATCATTATGTACAGCAATATTTTACAATCAATAAAAGAAAAAAAAATTAATAAAAACTAAAAAGAAAAAAATCAAGAAAACGAAATTGTCTTTATTTATTGTTATAATACTGTGCACGATCATTTTTTAAAATGTCAAATAAATATACTCAATTAGAACTTGACCTTATTTCTACTGAAACCAATCTTCAACCATTAATACCCAGCATATCTAGTAGCTCATCAGTCTCTAAAAAACAAAAAGTTCATAGTAAGCTATTTTCTGAGCATCTATTTTTAGAAGAAGATCTTTCTCCTGAGCATTCTAATACAAAAACCCACCCATCGAGAAGTAATGTGTTTTTCTTGTCCAAATGGGGAAAAAATCTGGCTTCAAAAAATTAGAGATTTTAATATATCAAATTTGTGGCGGCATATTGAGAGTCATCATCCAGATAAAGATTTACGATGACAAGACATATTGGAAGAATTTATGAACCAAAGTAACTCTTTACCTGAATTCTCACAAGCAACCTTTCGCAAATTTCTTGCACAATGAATGATCTCTGATAGTCAACTATTTATGATTTTAGAAATATACATTTTCATTGTTTAGTAAAATTGTTAAATCTACGTGCTTTAGTTTCTAGAGGGGATACAATAAGAAATGATATAATTAAAAGCTTTGAAGAGGAACATATAAAAAAAATTTTACTTCAAAATATTCCTAGAAAAATTTCATTTGTATTAGATGCATGGACATCACCAAACGCATATTCGTTTCTTGCTATCACGGCACATTAGATCACTAACAATTGGGAACTAAAAAATATTTTAATTGATTTCATTGATCTTTTGGGACCCCATTCTGGAGAGAACTTATGCAATGCATTTGTTAAATGTTGTCACGAATTGGGAATCTTGATGAAGATATTTGCCATTACTAGTGATAATGCCACAAACAATGATACTTTTATGAGATGAGATGTTTAAAAAACATATACAAAGATCTAAATATTCCATTTGATGCTACTGAACTGTGTTGCCAATGTATTGCTCATATTAGTAATATAGATGTGTAAGATATTTAAAAAATCTTAAGACAGGTGAAGCACAAATAGAGAATAATATTCTGGATAATTTAAATAAATCATTAAATACTGGAGAAATTATTCCAAAACTTAGAAAGCTCATTGTTAATATCAGATCTTCTCCATAACATCGTGAATGATTTGCATATCAAGCAAAAGCTGCTGGGCTTAAAGATGTTAATCTTATTTTAGATGTTAAGACATGGTGGAATTCTACACATAACATGCTTGCATGAGCATTAGAAATGCGTGAAGCATTGGATGCAATTACAAGTTTAATTAAAGAATTTAAAATGTTTGAACTTAATGATAATGAATGGAATAAAATTAAAGAAATCGTAATGATTTTAAGAATATTTGCACGAACAACTTAGCTAGTTTCTTTTGCAAAATATCTGTTACTTGCTTCTACAATTCCAATTTATAATTATTTAATTAACGAACTTGAAATGCATTGTAATAATTCAAACAATTCAAGTAAAGTAATTATTATGATGAATGCAGGCTTAAAAAAATTAAAGGAATATTATGAAAGGACAAATTATAGTGCTATATATTCTGTCGCAATGGTGCTTGACCCACGGTTAAAACTGGATTATTACAAAGAAAAAAATTGGGATGCTAATTTTATTAACGGCATTAAAGAAACTGTTGTTAATCTTTATGAAAACAATTATATGCCGATTGTTCATGAAACTGATAGTGATCAAGAGGTCGATGCTTTCAATGATGATGACCTTTTAGATAATATCTTTGGAAAGTGATTGAAAATTGACCAGAAAACTGAAATAGAATTATATTTAAAAGCTCCTCGAGCAGCACGAAACCATAATATTCTTCATTGGTGGAAGGAAAATGAATACGAATATCCACATCTAGCTATGATGGCCAGAGACTACCTTGCGATCCCAGCTACTAGTGTCTCAGTAAAACGAATATTTTCTGAAGGATCTGACTTAATTGCTGCGAAGAGATGCAGCCTTGGAATCAATACAATCCGAGCATGCATGTGCTTAAAATCTTGGTTAGATGAAATGTAAAAAAATAAACTAAAAAATTGTAAAGCAATAGCTTTTATTCTTGCGGCATGTTGAAGGGAAATTGCATAGTAAAGTAGATTAATTTGCTAGAGCGTAAAGTCATTAAAATATTAATCTATTAATTTATACTGTATAGCTTTATTTAGAAAGATTTAATCTTTAAATTCTATAATTAATTATTTCGATTGCATGTAAACTTTCATATAATACAGTAATTTTAATAAATACAAAATAAATGAAAATAGTATTGTTTTATTTGAAAAAGTCGCAAATTTGCAAACCCGGGTCGTGACCCGGGTTGTTGTGAAATGACCCCCAACCCGACCCGACCCGTTTGTTAGGAGCACTAATGTAAGGTAATTCCTATTTCTAATAGATAAACTATACTTTTATTGAAAAACAGTATATATTTTATTAAAAGTCATTAAATCAAGATTTCGGTATCCAAACGTTGAACCTAATTTAGGTTCAATTTTTGGATACTGGACTTGAATTAAGATCTGTTGAACCGGGAGCCGGACTTCTATAATAGAGTAAGGTTTGATAGGCTTTCACTTCGCTCCCCTCAGTTCCAGCCGATTAACTGTTGACTAACGGACTTGTCATTTTTCTGATTCGTTTTTTTCTATACACTAACCGCTCTTCTTTAGTCATTGGACTTTTCCGTTTTTTTCTAGCTTCATTATTTATAGCTATTTGCTCAAGCATATAGTTTCTTTTGTGTTTTTGCATTTAAAAAATTTACCACATCGAAAATAAGTATATTTTATTTAACGTGTTGGCTTGCGATACAATAACATATTTATGATCGAGTATATATATATATAACAAAATTGATCAATGTTAAATCTTTTATTCCATTATTATGCATTTTAAAGATCAGCTACTATATTTTAAACTAAGATTTCAGTATCCATAATTGAACCTAATTTAGGTTCAATTTTTTGGATTCTGAACCTAAATCAGGACCACTTGAACCGGGAGCTGGACATTTCTGAAATTCGAAGAGTATGGCTTGAAGGCTTTCGCTTCGCTTCCCTCAGCTCCAGCCAATAAGAGCATTCAGATCAAACTTTTTAAATATTTAAATAACTTGTTTCATATACCACCTATTTTAACCATCTATTTTAACTGAAATATATTAAATAAAGCTTAATTCTGAAACCTCAATTAGCCAGAATTTATAATCAGAAATGAAATTATTCAACTAGATAGAATCTTAAATTTTTAATCAATAATGTCGAATGTTTAATAATAGCATCTGTATCCAAATATATTTGTTTAAATATAATAATTAATACCGATGGCTTGATTAGACACCATTAGATCACTGAACTGTCTATTGAGTCTATTGACTTGTCTATTGGCTTGTCTAATGTTTATTCACAACGCTACTATTGGTGTCCAAAATAATGTTTGATGAATTTTATGCTAATTCATGACAAAGCATTGTTTTATTACAAAATAATAATTAAAAGAGAAACTCTGACATTACCACATATCAAAAATGTTCTGTGTCATTTTGTATTTTTGTATGTTCTCTTTGTATTTGTAGACTTTGTGATAAATCTTTTTCCGAACGTTTGAATAATTCGTGTTTTTCTACTGATCTGACAATACAATGACGTTCATTCTCCCATTCCTCCCACGACATTATTTTTAATTTCCTTGAATCAAATCTTCCTGTGACGTCTCCATGCTCATCTTTTCCATTCTCACCAAATATTTGACGCGTTTCTCCCCAGGAAAAATCATCAAAATTCCAATATGCATATAAGGGAAGGATAAAATTCCAAATAGGAAGTGCCAATAAGTAAACTGCAATACGTAGTGAATATAATAACAAAAAATGCATAAATTAGTATTACCATCACCTACCGCAAGTAAACATCGCTTTGTAATTAGTACTTATTTATGAGCGATGCTTATGCGCGGTAATATCACGGCAATTCTTCTAATAAACATAGAATACATTATCACAATTAAATCATTTGAAATTTACCCAGCATCCACATAATATAAACTATTTTACGGGTTGTTACGACAATTAATATTCCAGGTAAACCCAAAATCATAGCTAAAAGGATGAGCGGAAGGTATTGTACCTTGCTATCAAACAATGTGCTAAATATTAAATAAATTGTAAGGCATAGAGCAGCTGGCAACATCAGTGTTCCAACAATATCCGTCATAATTACAAATTGCATCGAGAGACATGCAATTCCACAGAGGTCACGGACAAGTACGAGTTCAAAAAGATTATGAATAGTGGAATTGATCCATCGACGGCGTTGAGAAAGTAGCACAGACAAGGTTTTAGGTGCAATAGTATGACAAACAGCCTGTGGGATAAATAACGTTTTACGATACGGAAAAGTGCGAAGCATAAGAGTTGATAGATATCGATCTTCTCCTAAAAGTAAAAGATTTTTTTCATGCAATGTGGTAACAATATTCTTTTGATATTCAGCAACAATATCAGGATTGGACAAAAGAGGAACCCATGCACCATCCTTTGGTGCTTTAAGTCGGTACATGCAGAAACAACCTGGCAAGCAAGTTACGCACCCAAAAGCTGATTCGAAAGCTTTTCCCAAATGGTGAGAAATATAATATTCATAAACTTGTATGGCTGTTATCCAAGTTTCCGTTTTATTAGCAATACGTGTTTCTCCACAGCAACCCATAATAGTTGGATCTTTTCTCATAGCAGAAACGAGATAAGTCAATGATGAGGGTGCCACTTTTGTATCAGCATCGACCTAAAAATATATGATATTGATAATGATGCATGGAAGGTAAAAACAACAACTTTTTTTTCATTACCATTAATATAAGCTCAAAATGATCAGCTGTAATACCCATTAAATAATGTATTTTCCAGAATAATTCATAATCTAACTCGGTAAATCTTTCATTGAAATATACATGCTCAAAAAAACTCATAACAATCATCTATAAATTAAAGTGGTTAAAATGGTAACTGAAAAGAAATAGATTTAAATAGGTCAAACAACGGATGTCACCTGTGAGTCACGTTTGCCGCGGTTGCCAGGTTTGGGGCTATTAATTTCTCTTTCGCTACCGATTTTAGCAACAACAATTGCAGGAGCTCGATGACCGCTGCGCGAATAATAACCAGCATACTAAATTTAATATTTACATATAATTAATAATAACTCCTAGAAGATTTAAGACATTTTATTATCAATAACCACATACCACTTTTGCGCGATTAAACCGCTTTTCACCTTCAGCAATCGCAACATAAGAACAAGGAGTAGCATTGCGCATTTCCGGATCTATCTCAA